GTGTTATCGAAATTTCATACAGTGGAGAAACTAGGACTCAATTACTCCTATGATTTGTCCATCCCAGAACAGGTTTCTAAACCGATCTCCAAGTTTCAACGTCTTCCGAGTTGCATAATTCGTAATCTCGATAACAACGAATCACGCTTTTTTTGATTTACGATTTGTGTGTTCGGTTACTATTAGAATGATGTACGTTTATTCTTATTAGTGTTCGCGTGAGGGATAAATTAAAGCTGGAATCCGTTCTCAGACGATTCACACTATCCATTCATGGGACTAGTTGTACTTTAGATTATCACTTCAGACGTAGTAAATTTGACTCAAACCTTCATTAAAAAGGAGACTTAAACTAAATCAACTCTTTTTGTTCAAAATAGTTAATAAGCCATTTTTCAAATACTATTCACCGTAAGATATATCTTCGTTTAATTTTTTTTTAAAAACATTATATTAGGGAATTATAAACTTAACGAGGGGTCATTTTAATCTACCAAAATCAATAATTTGGAATATTGAAATTCAGCCGGAAGACCTTTGTGCTGACTGATTTCATTTGTAGGTCGTACTTAACAAACATTGATCTCAGTGCATCGTTGAAATTCGAGGAACATTTGATTGTTTTTTTTTCCTAGTACTCGACTCCTCAGCAGTGGATATCTACTATCCATACGTGATGATTGAATCCGAAATATCCAGTTACCGCAGTGTACACTTAACCCATCAGAGTAATGGGTCATCATTTAAAGGTTACAATTTCGGCTTCAATCAGTTTGTAACGTAGAACTACGATCGTGTATCATTCATTATTAAGGAAAACTATTTCACTCAAACTTAACAGATTATTTAAATTAGTTTATACACTTGCAGCGATTTTCCTAATTCTTTCTGTTTGACATTTAAAGAGAGTGCAAATGTTACAGATTGGGTGGTTGGAAATATTAGGCACAAAATTCCAAGAAAAATCAATGCTGCAGATTCCATTCATATTCTTTTCCGATTTCATCTATTCACATTGTTTTTTCATTTTGCTTTTACAGTGAAGTAGGAGTTTAGAAAAGAATATCAGCTTACATATGAGGTAAAGTTAAAAAAAAAAAACTCTCGTTATCTTGTTGTTACACCAATTAAGGAAAAAAATTGAACATCGATCACTTTGCAATGCAACTTTGTTGTTTTTCTCCCGATTCAACCCATAATACATAGTTTTTTTTCGGAAGGGATTAGTATTCTATTTAAGTTGCTATTTACTTTACGAAAAAGTGCATCAAATTATTTTCTCGGTAGATTTTTATATTTAGTCCAAATATTTAAACGAAAAGATTAGGAAATATAATATGATCTGATCTCACTTTAGAAAGAAACAATCTCTCTTCCTTTATGCTGTCATAGTAATGATAATCATAGTAATAATAATAATAATCACGTCAATGGCCAGAAAAAGTCAATCCAATCAAACCCACTTATCACGTAATTAGATGATTGGAATATATAATTGATGACCAACTATTTCTCAGTTTTACTTCTAATCTTAATAACTATAGTATATATATATATATATAATTGATGAGACCTTAGTTAGTATTTATTTACTGGTTGTAGTATTTATATATTCTTCATTAGAACGATTACTTGACTCTAACTCTATTTACGGATGTACAGTAAGTAGGTAGATGTTTAGTTTACTTTCACTTGAAATGTATTTGCATATAGAGAGAGCGCATCGAAATACTTTAATGGGGGGATTCGTATCCATGTTACTAGGATGATGAATCATCTCAAATTCTAAAAATATCCTACTGAAAAATTATAAATTGATCTTGAATTATTATCACAAAAAGTTTTTCACGTTCGGTCTATATGACTACTGAATGATTACCTTTTATCTCAACAATCTCATTCAACACTAGGAAATAATGAACAACTGATCTGTTCTAATTTCGATCGTCACAACAGACGTTTTAGAATACAATACAAAAACACAGAACCTTTAGATATCTTGGGAAGTGATTCGACCAATGAGTTACACTTAAATGTCTCATGAATAACTGATCATGAAGACCATGGAAGTTCCAACGTGAAATGATAGACAACATGATTAACACGATTGGAATGAGACAAGTAACCTCTATATCATAGAATAAATAACATCTGCATTACATCAATAGTTTGTCGAAATTCATAATTTTGACTGCGCAAAACTGACTAAACTATCTGAAATTATTATTGGACTGGCTTCAACCAACTCTTAAAGGTGCTACAATAACGCGTGACTATTGTTGTAAATACATAGTGCTATGTAATTTTAGCTGGCATTCCAACTCTATTTACATTGTGAAAATGTACAACACTTGCAGAGAACATCAGTTACCTCCATATTTCATATCCTCATTGATGACCAATCAAAACTACTGTGAATATACTGTGTGGAGCTTTTATGTGAATACCTATGACTACCTTTCGCGTGTTCCAACCTTTGATACTGAAAACTGCATCTAATTACTCCTATACTGCTGCTCCAAACTACACGATAATGTTCATCAGGTTGTAGAAATAACATCCAAATGATACTAAATACGCATAAGTTTGAGTTTCATCATACGGTCGGACACATACTTAATGGAATGTGTTAATTAACGTAAACAAACAAAATGTTACTCTCACCTCAAATCATTCAATTTCTTTGCTGTTGTAAGTGTGGGTAGTATGAAAAATTATCACAGGTAACAATGAAGTATGGATCAATAAGCACATATGTGTATGATAACAGATGCAAATACTACTTAACTGATTTCAGTTAATTAACCAATAAAGAGAGAAGATAGAACAAGTGAATAATGTGCGTTGAGAATAATAAGAATTGTAAATGTGGATGCTGAACTCATAGTTCACCGTGATAATTGATAAATTAATAAAGAGAATATTGTGGAGAACGGTTAGATGAAATGTTAACACCTTTCAATTAGTAAGAGAAGACTTGCTTTTTTTTGTGATGTGAAACGTGTTTTCTACAGCTGTGCATTTTGTTTGCTCTCCTGTTTTATATGTAACACTATGTCATTTTAAAATAATTAATAGTTCAGAGGAAGTCTATTTTTAGTAGGTGGTTTGTGATACCAACAAGCATATATTTCTGTCTTTTATAGTTTTATCCTTCGTGTATGAATTGTTTTTATTCATTATAAGCAACCTCATTGTCACGTGGAACGTGAATTTGTCCTTGCTGATAAGCGATATCTCTATTGAAAATAACTGTGGGATTGTTTATGCTCTATAGATTGCACCTTTGATAGTATAAGTGATAACAGGTTGCTTGAAAATTTTATGTTTGAAATATCTTAGCAGTAGTCAGATTGAGATATGTTTTTTTTTCACATAAAAATTCCAAATTCTTTCGAATTTATAGGTTCATATGCATCTAACCTAATCAATATTTACGTGCTCAGTCGTCCTTCTTTATTACGTCATATTTACTGTGAGATTAGTGAGACAGACCCTGAATAGCTAGCTATTCACTACTTTGTTACATTCAAAAATTATTTTGCTCACAGTAATGGGTATCACATCAGCTTTAGGTATACTTCTGTTAGATGGAATTTGTATTTAAATTAGGCAACTATTTTGTATGTTGAGACATGCATTCTGGCTGTTATTAGCTTATTGTTTTATCCAAAGTTTATGATGAACTTTCTCAACACCGTGAGAGCACATGTAGCATTCAGTAAACTTAACTGTATCTTAACTTCTAGTCCAGATTCGTTGAAAAATTGTAGAAAATCATCGTCGTATGACTTCAATTAGAGAAAGGTTTTAGAGAATTATCTGTGCCTAGTATTCATAAATGGAAGTAATCAATTTTTACAAGTGTTTGAGAAGATAAACTGCATTTGATTTCAATGGTAACCGCTGAGATTTGAAAGAAAAATGCCACATTACTTCAGAATAATTTTAGACTGTCCCACTGCAAATCACTTTTCATTGATATCACCGTCTTTGTTTCTTCTCTCACCTTCCTACACTTTCAATGTACACTTACAGTATGTAAGTAAGATAAAATATCTTAGTGGATTTACATTCAGCAGTAAGTGTATTCCGTCAAACAAACAGACGTTATAATTTTACAATCATGTCAGAACTTGATAAGTACTAAAATGTCGTCTAAATGTCAATTTACCAGTTAAATTTGTACCGCATCAAATAAGGAAAACCGTTTTGCATTATTTAGATACACACAATACGTTGAATGTGAAATTTCTGAAAAACAAAAAAAAACTATACAAGAATATACAAACAAGGGTTATTATTACTCGTCAAATGCATTCTCTAATATTATTAATGGATAAAATCTTTTAAGTCTAATAAAACGCTTTACTGCTAAGAAACAAGTTATCACAATCTATTTAAAATCATTAATAGTCATTTGAAAATTAGCAAATCAAGTTATATTACTTTAAAATAATATAAGTAGATTGACAAAATTTAAATTTGAATCACAATACACAACAGATTGACTAACATTTTACAATTGACAATAGTACTCTGATCATTCATGAATTTCCTGTTTCTGTTTTAATAATTTGATGTGGTGTCCGATTCAATTTTGGTAATGAAAACAAATACATCCCTTTACTTTTTGTCTAAAAAAATCAGTTACAAAGAAATTGAGACAAATTAAGCTTTGCAGGAGGAATACAGGTGTAAACATGTTCCGTTAATATAAATAATGTATAAGTTCAAAGTTAATCTATACTTCAAAAAAGTTCAGTTGTTTCAATTGGAATGTTTTATAGTTTAACATAATTGATGATAAACTGAGGTTCTAGTGAGTTGAATATCAAGTCATGTTGTAGTGAAGGAGAACACAGGTGAGGGCAACCGAATTGTATTTATCCCAAATTACAGAGTTAATTGGTAAAATAGGAAAACCATATCGTAAACAGTTAATTTGCAAAACATCAATCCATCATCAATCCATTGTCTGACATTTCACTGTCCATGCGTTTCATACAAATACCATTGTGTTCTAACTCTTCCTTTCTTGATCTTCCCCCATCTTTTGCTGTCAGACATTACGTTTTCACTCGTGTCATATACTACTTATAAGTAGCGCGCACCACAATGTCATCAGTTTCACTTTATATTATCAAAGCTTTCAAAAAATAGACATTTTAATGATGATCGATATGTAATCGTCACAACACAACTATTCAGAAGTAGATTAAAACTATGCAATAAGATAGTGGGCAGTCAACATAACTCACTCACTTACATTCTAATTGGGAAATGAGACATTTGCAATGTAGAGAGTTAGTTATTCATTGAATATGCTCTCTGAAATTTCTGTACTTTCAGATCAGATTAGAATTTGAGGCAGCTGATGTACAACTGATTCAGATTTTATAGTCATTCGTGTAAAAGAAAATGCGTAACACACTGACGTCTTTCTATAATCCTATCAACCTATTTCGGTAACATGTTAAATAATGTCAAAAATGGTATGTATGATCGATAAGCATTAAACCAGTAATTTCTTACATCATCCTCATTATTTGGTCTGTTTGAAGATGTTAGCTGACCGAATTGATTTGCATACTTTAATGCAGCAGTATGCAATTGTGATACTTTCATTTCTAATGTGTTTCGTTTAAATGTTTCTTCAGCAATTGCTTGTAGTCTATTTTTTAAACATCGAATTCTTGATTCTGATGCTTCTTGTAAACGAGTTAAATCCCGACGTAAACGTATGATCTAGACGAATAATAATAATAATAATAATAATAATAATAATAATAATAATAATAATAATAGGACAGTAAACATTTTTTATCAAATCTTCTATTTGTATACACGTTGCATCATAATTGGTCTGTTTCCTTCTAACAAAAAATATTCACCTTAATATATCGTGTATCTTTTTTTTTTAAAAAAAGATACTGGTTGGAACATATGTTCCTGAAGATTCTACCATGCCAGGCAGGTCGATTGGAGAACGATGAGACTAAAAGCAGCTACTCAAGGTCTGAGGGCGAAGTCGTACTGTTGACTGCAGAGGGGTGTGACAGCAGTAAGGTGTTTCCCTCGGACAACCAGCATCTGCAGCGATGCTGCCTTCTCACAAAGAAGGAAGGGTTAGAAAAGGTCGACCGTAAAAATGTCACACCTCACCTTACCTCACGGATTTCCGTCTCCCTCGGTAAGGGTGCCCGCTAAGGGCTTTTAACAGCGGAGCTAACACTCACAAAACCTCTCAAAGAAAGGTCGTGCGTGACTGGCCTCGAGCAGTTGTCCCTTGGGCTCTGCAGTCACGCTCTCAGGTCTCTAAGACAGACACTAATCTACCTTCCTTCTCAGTTCCCTCAAGAAACAATTTTCCACGGTGTGGGTAGCCAGGAAGTGACAACCGCCCTCATAACCGTAACGGCACGTGAGACCGAATTGGTCAAGATCAAATCCTCCCTGCACCTCTTAATATTTCTCTTATCTCCACGGCTAACTCTACTCGAATTCCTTTATCTCACTGCACCGCTAATGCAAACGAGTCGAGTTCACGAAACGTCAGCGTCTCTGTGCTGAGGTGGTATGGCAACCTGAACTGATGTACTTATGTACGTAGTCCTGTGTTGTATCTGTCTGTCTGTCTTTTTAAAAAAAATATATATATATATATTTAAGCTTCTATTGAATGATCAGTTGAATAAATTGATCAGTCAGTTGAGTTAGGAAAACTGTCGAGCGTCTACAGTGAGACGTGCTTTAGAGACTCTCTTTATTAGTCTTTTTATTCAACAGAATTAAAAATGACTATGTTGCATTACCTTGTTCCTTGTTGAAATTTTCACAATCTTAATTTCAACATTTATTCATTCTTGTTTAAGTTCGACTGTGGTGAAAGCTTTACCTTATCTGAAATGGTATTCAGTTACAAAGCATTTCTTAAGGCCTTTCTGTGTCTCAAATAGTTGTTGTACCAACAGTAAATCAGATGAACTAATAACATTGAGTTCAAGGCAAACAAAAATAGTAGTTCTCTCCTTTAAAGTATTGTAGAACTGAAAGTACACTTGACATAATTAACAAGTTAAAGCTTATCTTGTTTTGATGCTGATAAGAATTTATTTTTTATGACAGACATGAAATGTTACATATATCATATTTACAGATAAGAGTATACTTATTATGTAGCTGCTGTCCAGTCTTGTACAGAATCAAAATGAGAAATGTATTTACTGAAATCCAACAAAATGGTCGATGTAACACGTTTTATTGGTGTGTCTTTGAAATATATTTTATGTTTAATGCTAAATAGTCGATTTTCTCGAGTTTTACATCTTCTTTAACGACTTATCACTTTCAAAATTGTATGAGATTTCCGTTGCTACAAATCAATTTTCCATATTGTCACTGTTTCTCCTCTATGTCACAGTATTCACCAATATTATGTTCTAAATGAACCAATAAAACATCTCTGATTGTTTAAGCTTATCTCTGATTAGGTTCGATTTTAATGAATGGTGAAAAATTAGTCATAACTCTTTGTACTTTTATATAAACATTAAAAAAAAAGAACAGAATTCTCTTTGAATTGG